GCGGGCGCGGCCGGGAGCCGGGGAGCGGCGCGCGAGGCGGCCCGGCGCTGCGTGTGCGCGGGGGGCGCGGCCCGCACTGACCGTTCGCCCGCTTCAGGGCGTTCTCGGGCCGCTGGAAGTACACCGGCATGATGGCGGCGGCGGCGGCTCCTCACGGGGCGGCGGCGGCTCCGAGCTCCAGCCAGGCGGCACGCGCGGCCGGAAAGGGAGGGCGCGGCAGGGGAAGGGGAGGGAAAGGGGCCCGCGCGCGCCCGGACGGCGGCGGCGGAAGCGGAAACCCGGCCCGGCGCGCGCGCGGAGCCCGGACGGGACCGGGAGGGGACCGGGACCGGCACTGGGACCGGAGCCACGGGGCATTGGGACCGGGACTGGGACCGGATCCACGGGGCATTGGGACCAGGAACGGGACCAGGGACTGGAGCCACGGGGCAATGGGACCGGGACCGGCACTGGGACCGGAGCCGCGGGGCATTGGGACCGGGACCGGATCCACGGGGCATTGGGACTGGGACCGGAGCCACGGGGCATTGGGACCGGGACCGGTACTGGGACCCGATCCACGGGGCATTGGGACCAGGAACGGGACCAGGGACTGGAGCCATGGGGCATTGGGATCGGGACCGGCACTGGGATCGGATCCACGGGGCATTGGGACCGGGACCGGCACTGGGACCCGATCCACGGGGCAGTGGGACCGGGAGGGGATCGTGGAAGAAGGATCGGGACCTGAAGGGATCATGAGATGGGGTCCTGGGGGGATCGGGATCAGGATCGGGATCGTGAGGGGAGCGCGGGGCGGGCTGCACAAAGCCCTTTGTCCGAATGAGCCTTAGGGATGCCGGCGGGCACAGGGCGTTTGCCGCGGGGCGCTGGGCCCCGTGTGAATCGTTCGCCTGTCTCGCACACTCTGTTATTAGCATTGTTCTTACTGCTCGTTTTCCTGTTCTTTATCTGCTTCTAGTAAATTATTCTTAGCCCGACCCGCGATCTTTCCCTTTTTGTACCTCCAGTTCTCCATCCTGTCGCAGGGGGAGGTGGGGGGACATGACCGAGTGGTGTGTGGTCTGGGGTATTTCAATGGGAACACTAAATTGGGGAATTCTGTTCCTAAACCATGACAGACGTGTATTTTAGTATGGTCTGCATTAAGTGGAGTCAACACTAAGGTATTTATAGTGCTGAACAAGTGCTTTTCTCGTGTTCATAAAATTAATTTAAAAGTCTGTCGGGTGGCTGCCTGAGGTCGGGGTGGCGGCTGTGCCCATGTCACCAGAGCCAGTGACTGTCCTTGCAGCCTTCTCATGGGGGCAGCTCTGCTCTCATGGGGACTGCAGGTCTCCTGCCTGCTATTTATTGATGGGTTTGCTATTGAGCAGCCCACTCCATGTTTTTGGATCTCTAAAAGCCCTCCAGGCTGGGATCACGACAACTTTGTATCATCTGTCTTGTCTCTTCCTACTAATGTGTGTACTTGATGACTTCATGGAAATCCTGTGGCAAATCCAAAGTGCATTCCCTAGCCAGGTCGGGACAGGCCTGGCCTCTCCCAGGACTTCACATGTTTTTTTAGCAGCTTCTGATGCTCCTCTAGTTATCTCCATTATTTCAGAAGTTTCTTCTACTAATGAGTATCATGGTATTCCTAGAATCATTTAGGTTGGAAAAGACCCTTAAGGTCATGGAGTCCAATGTTCAGGTGCCACTGTTCATCCGAACTTGCAAATGAGATCTTTACATTCTCAATAAACTTGCTGGTGCATGGAGTTACTCAGGAATAGTTGTTCTGCTTCCATGACTGTTCCTTACACCACTCAGTCCCCACTTGGGCAGTAGCCAGCCTTTATCCATCCTGAGTAAAAACACAGGGATGTCTGTTTTGGATTACTCAGGGTACAGCTCCTGGCCAGCACTTCAGGAGGTGGTTGTCAGCAGAGCTACCCTCCTTTTGTGTAACATCTCACATGAACTGTGCCCCATGACTTATGGAGGGCTGTGGAGATGATGACGGCACTCTGGAGCTCTTCCCTTTTGGGGAAAGGCTGAGGGAGCTGGCTCTGTTCAGCCTGGAGAAGAGACAGGGATCTCATCCATGCCTCACTACCTGAAGGGAGGTGGCAGATGGACCAGGTGGTGTCCAGCAACAGGACAAGAGGCAACACGCAGAAACACACGGAATTCCACCTGTATACGAGGAAGAACTTCTGTATTGTCCACTGATCACACACTGGGACACTGCCCACGGAAGGTTTAGAATCTCCCTCCCTGGAGGTGCCCAAAATCCGCCTGGACACGCTCCCGAGTGCGTGCTCTGGGGACCTGCTTCAGCACGGCGGTGGCACCGGCCGAGCACCCTTCCGACCTGACTATCCTGGGATTCTGTGACACAGACAACAAAAAAGACCCATTTTTCCCGGACCCATTCTTCCCCCGCTCCCGCCGGAGAACGGGCGGGCCGCAGCGGAGGAAGCCGCGGGCGGGCGGCAGCGCTCAGTAAATGGCGGGGGGGCGGAGCGGGGCCGTGAGGGAGGAGCGGGGCCGGGCGGGCGGAAGGCGGCGGAGCGAAGATGGCAGAGCCGGAGGCGCAGCTGCTGCGGGCCGTGGGGCTGATCGGTGAGGGCCGGGGCAGCCGGGCCGGGCCGGGGGCGGTACCGGGGCCCGGGCGGTACCGGGCCCGCCGCGCTGAGGCCGCGGGCCCGGGCTGTGCCGGCTCTGCCTGTTGCGGAGCTAAGCCGTGCACAACTCGGCCGAAGTGTCTGAAATTCGCGGCTTCCGAATCAGAATTGCGAAATCAGAAATAGGGAAAAATCATAAATGAGCTGGTCCGGGTGCTTGTTCCTCAATACCGTGCTCATGTTGAATGTTCATTCAAACTTGGTGCTTCTTTGACCTCGTGAAGCAGGTCAAGAATGGAGATTTATTAATAGTTTAAAAAATTAAACCCGTATCAGAATTCCTGCCTTAAGGCTTGAACCGTAGTGGCAGAACTGGATGTCTAGGGTCAGGGTAAGGTGGAATTTTAATCTGATTCCAGGAAACAAACCTGATTAACCCATCAATTTACTTCCTTGCTGCTGTTTGGCATTCTCACAGTGAACATCTTTCCACCATAGAAAAAGACAGCAACGGAGACGCTTTGTGGGTTTGGTGTTACCCGTCCGTAACAGCGGAGCTGAGGACTCTGCTGCTGAGAAAGTGCTGCCTTACAGATGAAAACAAATTGCTGCACACGTTTGTCTTCGGCCAGTACAAAAGGTCTTGGTTCTACATCACAACGGTAGAAGTTCAAGATTCTCCAGCCTTGAAAAAGGTATGGCATGGTGGGGTTTTTTGGTAGGACGCAGGGAGTGTTTCTGCAGAGCTTCCTCTGTGGGTTAAGCAGTGTTTTCCCATGGAGAGAAATGAGAAGGGATTCAAGGTGTTGTGTGCTCACAGATACAGCTCTGTCCAGGTGCCCAGCCAGTCTATGTTTCATTTGTCACCAGGACATGGAATTGCAGAGTGATTGAGATACTCATTTTCCAATTCTGTGTGTTAGCACACAAATGCTATTTCATGCTGCTGTTTCTAGTTAATTTACATTTCAAGTTCAGCATTTTTTTCTCTCTATGGAGTTTGTTTCATAGTGTCCAGAGTCTTGTTCCTACAGAACCTGCTGCCTTTTTTCTCCCAAGGATCAAGTTTTGTAGGTATCTTCTTTTCCACTGTATTGATTACTGGAAGACAGCAAATATAATTGTATCTTCTATCTTTTCTCTGTTATGAAAATCATTAAACTGTTGGTTAAGTCTGTTCAGTTTTCATGTTTCATGCTACATTGTTAAGTAGAAAGATAACGTGGTAACTTTATATGCCCACGGCAGAACGTTGCTTGCCTCACTCAAGTTCATATTTTCTATGAAGTAAAATAAAATTAAATGTTACAGTGCTGTCTTCAATAGGTGCAGTGGGAGATGCTGTTTCAGGAGGACACGTGAGCCTGGTCATTGTCTGCAGACTTTCAGTCTTGTACTGTCCCAGCCCACAGTCATTTGATTGAGGAAGTTAGAGTAATTCTGTTTTGGGCCTGCTATCTGTGTAGTTTTTCCAGTCTCTTTCTAAATATGTTGGTGCTGTCTGCCTCCACAGCCTCCTTTGGCAACAAATTCTGGAAGTTTCCTCCCTGCTGTGGGGAAGGAAAATGCCTTTCTGTTTTTAAATAACCTCATGAAGTTAGAGGAAAGCAACTATTGTGTGTAGGTTAAGCAAAAGATAGTCTGTACTAGAGCTGAGTCACATCAGAAATCCTCTGTCCAGGCCATTCCTCAAGCTTGGAGCCTTGACAGTGAAGTGACCAAGACTGTTCATTTGGGTCATTAACTGAGCTCTGTGTGTTTCTGTGCCTGTGTCATGTGCAGGTGACCCACTTCTCCATTGTCCTGACAGCCAAAGACTTCAACCCAGAGAAATATGCAGCCTTCACCAGGATCCTCTGCAGGTCTGTATAAAAGCTGGCCTGAGGTACTGCATGCTTAGATCTTGCCAAAGCAAAAGGTTCAGTTCATTGCGTTGCATTTGTTCAAGCAAAGTGCTGGAAACTCAGTCCTACAAAGGAAATCAGATGATAACAATCCTTGATTGGAGCTGTCATGTTCAGAAAGTCTTGGGTGAATGTTCATTGGGTTTTAATCTGTGTCTCAGACACTCACCACCACCACCCTCACACTCATTTTCTCTGAGAGTATATTTTTAAAAAGTGTAAATGTTTGGCAAGATGTCAGTGCTGGACTCAAAGACCACCATGGTATGGTGAATGGCTTCTATCCCTCCATGACATCTTTGTAAGTGCTGCTTGCAGCTCCTCTGAGCTAAGCACAGCACCCAGGGATGGTTTTGCTTTTCCTATAGGGAAGTGAGAGTCCTCTTCCAACTAAAAAACCTCTTCTCATTTCCTTGTCCTGTTTACTCACTTCCCTTCATGTCCCCATTCTTATGCTCACTCTCTGCTTCTTATTTTGCTTTTCCTTCAATTTCCGAATTAGTTCAGTCCCAGTTCTTTGATACCAAGAGTATTCCCTGGGACTTTGCAGCTAATTTGATGCAGTTGTGAGGTTATTGTGCTCTTGGGACTTACTATATATAATGCAGACTTGGAAGTGCTTTCAGACATCAATTCTGCAGGGCACTGAAAAACTGAGATGTGTTCTTTTTTGGTGATACATGAAAAACTTAGATTCACTACGGTTCACATTTCTGCTGACTTACCAGCTAATACTTCTTTTCAAATCTAGAATGGATTCTTCTAAGCATGATAATAATTGAGTTTCAAATGTGATGTTGCTTTGTGCTATAGCTACCATGACAAATGTGTAGTTGACAGCTTCGATGCTATTTCTGAAATATCTTAACCAGTAAAAGAGGTTACAGTGTCTCTCTGCTTCCTGGAAGGCAGCTGACAGTGCATGGGTTCTCTCAGGGTGTGCTTCCTCTGTGTCATTTTGGGTTTTTATTGAGTGTCGAGGACATGTTAATATTTTTGTTTCATTGTTTAGTAAACAGTACAGAAGAATGGCAAAAGATACTTGGATAAAAAAATTAAAAGCTACCTAGTTGTAGTCTGCAGGTAATAACAGCAGTTACTGTGGTAGTTGCTTTTTCATTAAGCAGACACCTTCCATGTCTGCAAAGAATCCTTTGTCTGGACACCTACCTACAACTCTGGGGTGTGTTTCTATCTTACTCTATGTTGGTTCATTCACAAAATAGAAAACTGAAATAAAAATACAGGGTTATTTTAAATTCTAAAAGACAGACATGTTTGTGTGCATGTTGGAACACTTCTAGTTCAGTATTTGAAACCTCAGCCAGGTGTTCAGAATAAGAATTATTGCCAGCAATATTGCTATTTGTGATACTGATTTTTAACTTTTTATTTTACATATATGTGCAGTGATTGCAGTTAAAATACCAGACTCTCTTCTTGTCACACAGAATCTACCTGAAGCATGGAAGTCCAGTTAAAATGATGGAGAGTTACATTGCAGTCCTCACAAAGGGCATCTGCCAAAGTGAAGAAAATGGATCCTTCCTCAGCAAGGACTTTGATGCTCGGAAGGCTTACCTTGCTGGCTCCATGAAAGGTTAATCTCTGCCAGAGGCTCTATTCTGATTTCTTTCTTACAGCCTAAAATACAATCTTGTTTTCATGTATGTTTTAAGTAAACTGTGCTGACACTGTTGCCTGTGCGGTTATTATTAAGCTTTTTCAAAAACATGATAATATCAGCATAAATATCTTCTATAAAATAATTCCCTGTCTTTTCTAGATATAGTATCTCAGTTTGGAATGGAAACAGTTATTTTATATACTGCACTGATGTTAAAGAAGAGAATTGTAGTTTACCATCCTAGAATAGAAGCTATCCAGGAATTTACCAGGTACTTCATCAATTCCTTCCTTCCCATTCCCCCACCCCCAGAGTCTAACAAATTTTGAACCTTCATTGAGAAAAAAGCCTGTGTTTTAAGGGGGGAAAAAATCCATCTTAAACCTGTTTATAGAACTTCTGCTAAATCCCTCTTAAGGTTTAACTGCATGTTGCTCAAATCAGAGAAATTGAATGGTAGAATAAGTGATAAACTCTGCTTGCACTGATAGTAGCAATTTCTACAATTCATAAATAAATAAATATACACCCCCCTAAATGGAACCTAGTGATAATTGCTCTTTTTCTTGGCATGCAGTTTTTACTGTGAAGCTTTAGTTTATGTAAGTAAAAATGTACTGTTGTCTCAAATTGCACCCTGCTGTCCCTAGGACTTTGCCTGCTTTAGTGTGGCATCGACAAGACTGGTCAATTCTTCATTCATATGTGCATCTAAATGAGGAGGAACTGGAAGCCTTAAAAGCCTGCACAGGTAGTGATGATTTCTTAATCAAAAATACCAGGAAAATTCTATTTCAGCTTCTGTTGCTGCAAAGTTTTGCACCAGGGAACTTTGGAGGGAGAAAAAGGTTATTTTGCTATTAATGCTATTGATCAAAGTTAAACATAATTTCATTTGGAAAAGGCAAATCAGCTAAACAAGTATGTGGGAAGATAATTAGTTAATCTTGTGGCTTTGGGTGGATCCACATCAGTCTATCCCTAATCACAGATGCAAAGCAGCCTTGAGACTTGTTTGATGCTTTGATTGGAGAGATTGAAAGTCTTCCTGCTGTACAGAACCAGCTCACTTAGATAAGCAAATTTTTTCCCAGCTTTTACACATCACTAGTAACAGAATGGTTTTAGATTTGCTCACTTAGATAAGCAAATTTTTTCCCAGCTTCTACACATCACTAGTAACAGAATGTTTGGTTTTTTTTAATTCCTAACTCTGAAGTCCCAGACTTTTGTTTTGATGTCAGTGAATTCTGAGGCTCCAAATCACAGGCAAACTTCACCTGTAGGAGTTTGGTCTGTGTGACTCAGTGCTGTGTGTGCACAGTGCTTAAGGCATAATCCAGGAACAGGCCCAAGCTTTATGCAGAGGTTACTGTGACACATCATGTGGCCATTAAGAGGCTTCTTTATACAGAATATGAGCAAGGAGACTACTCATCTTCAACATTTCTACAGCTCACTAAGCATCTTCCATGGAGAAAAACCTGCTCTGAGTTTGCTCATCTGACATGCTATAAACAAGCAAATCTGGGTTTATTCCTCTGTTCCAGTCCAAAACTGACTTTGTGACAAGAAGCTCCAGAGTGGAGATTTTGAGAATGTAATGAGAAAGTCACAAATGAGTAATTTCAGTAGGAAGGGAAGAAAAGAGTTTAAAATGTCAGATTGGTAACTTGGTGATATTGCAGTAGTGTTAGCAGTTAATCCGTGCTCAAGGCAGTTTTAGAAGTTGATTTTTAAGCTCTTGGAAATGAAGCAACTGCTGAGCACTTGTGGAATGACTGATAATATCAAGAGAGCAGCCTCTTGGGTCCAGTGGGTATTGTGTCAGATACTCTTAGAACAGACTTTAGGGCTGTGATTTTTGATTTTATTTCTGAAGATGCTAATCTTGCTCAATTCTGTACTCTAGGTTACATTGCTGGATTTACAGACTCTGAAGTGAGCAGTAGATCAGACCTCTATGATGTCTATGTGAATTTGGCAGACAGTGAGATTACAGTTTCACCTGTAGTAAAAGGTTGGTTGCTCTTTATATTTTGGATTTAGAGAGAGTTTATTGCAGAGTTGACAGTAATGGCTCAGCCTTGCTGTAGATCAAACAATCTGGATCCTTCTTCCACCCAGGTTTTGAAAAGTCAATATGTAAGTTTCTGTCTTCATTTTATTGCCACCCTGCAAGAACTGGTTAAAGTTGGAATTTGGAAGGATGTGCTTTGTTTTCCAACAAATATACGACTGAGATTTCCTAACATCCATGTTAGACATGGAAGAGACTTTGAGCTGAATGGAGAGATATATTACATGAGCTTTTAGAAAAGCATGGAACTGAATACTTGAAGACTGGGGATTATTTGAAAGAAAACCTTGTATGTTGCTTATCACCCTTATCACTGCTTTGGGCCACTTCAGAGGTACTGGCTGTTGATACAAGGTTATTGTCCTTATCAACAGACTTCAAATGGCAGTCATTAAAAGATTCCTCAGTTTGGTGTGTTATTCATATAGGTTTCTAGGTATCACAAAAAAGGTGATTTTTTTATGTGGTGTTTTGTTTTTTTCTTACACAGAGGCAATGACAATGGGAAAACTTCACAAAGAAATTGGACAACTAATTGTTCAATCTGCAGAAGATCCAGATAAATCAGACAGCCAAGTCATTAAGGTTAATATTTTATTTTTAAATCTAATTAACTTCTATTGCTAAATCTTGGCAGAAGGAGGGAGTAGGAGGAAGAGTAGCACTGAGAATCAGTCAGTCTCTTCTACCTTCTGCCTTTTTACAAATGAGCATTTTTATTTATCATGCAGGTTTTTAAGGATAACTTACTTAGTTTATATTATCTCTTGAGTAACTACATTGCTGAAGAAAGTTCAGAAATTCTATTGATTTTAAGACTGGTTTCCCAGTTTTATTCCACAATGCATGGATTTTGCTCAATGCTTTGTCAACAGTATTGGCAATACCTTGAAAAGGGCCTGCTAAATATGGCTTCTTAGCTATAAAACCTGATTTTTATGATGATGGCATTTTATCACTCCCTCTCCCATGTAATATTAGACATTTCACAACTGAGTGATTTAGTCACAGAGCTCAGTAAGGTCAGGAGAGGAGTAGATGTGCTTCCTTTATCCAATATGGCACAAGAGGAGGCTGAAGAACTGTTACAAGTGGGGTCTTTATTTTAAATGAGCTATTTATTTACACTTGTTTCCTTTTTTTGTTCTGTATTGATTTTTTTTAATTATAAATGTATGTGAAAACCTTTTAATACCTAATACCATATTCATGCTTGTTTTTCTGTTCCTTAAGGACATTTCTCTGAAGACAAAAGAAATCTTGGCTACTTTAGCCTCACTTACTGAAGTTGCCTTGGTTTTGGGTTTTTTTTTGTTCTGTATTGATTGTTTTTTATTGTAAGCGTATGTGAAAACCTTTAATACCTAATATTATATTCATGGTTGCTTGTTTTTCTGTTCCTTAAGGACATTTCTCTGAAGACAAAAGAAATCTTGGCTACTTTAGCCTCACTTACTGAAGTTTCTGATGGGAGTGAAAAGCCAACCCTTAATCCTGAGGCCCTGAAACAGAAGCGATTTCCACCAGCCACAGAAAACTTCCTTTTCCATTTAGCAGCTGCTGAACAAATGCTCAAAATCTGATTTTGATGCACTGCAGTGTTATGAACTAATTGTGAAAAAGCTGTCTCTGCCATCCAGATAGGAATACCTGGTATTTTATATGAAAAACTAAAGGTATGAGTCGATGTCCTAGTTACCATGATGTAATGCAGAATAATGGAGCTTGACTGGGAACCTAGGGAGCCATATTTGGGAACATTCCTGGTGTCATTATCTCCCCCCAACTCTGTGTACCTATGGCTCCTGTATTTCACACCACAAAGTGAGTGGATTTACAAGTAGCACATCCAGTGCGTCCAGGCTGTGTGTCCATCAGTGTAGTGGCTGTTTGTCCTGCACATTCCAGAGGCTGGACAGCTCTGACCTGTCTGCCTGGGGTCTGGAACATGGCTGCAGCACATCTGGGATGTGCTGATCTCTGCACAGGGACACCCTGAACTTGCAGCTGCTCTGAGTGCTCCTTCTGGGCTTCCAGGGATGTCAGCCTGTCAGATGCTGCTCTTGCTCTGCACTGCCTGATCCCTGGAAATCCCAAATAAATGGACAAGTTCTCTCTTTCTACTTGAAAGTGTCTAGGTGTGAATAAAGGATGTCTGGGAAAATCTCATGTGGTAGCCTTAGTATGAAAAGTAAGGGATATTTTGAAGCTCAGGTGTGAGTTGAGCACCTCTTTGGGACTCTTGCCTTAGAGGTTTCCCCTTTCACTCCATCCCATGCCCCTGGTGGAGGGATAAGATGCAGGATTACTGTGCTTGGAGTGGGGCTTCCTGGGGAGGCCATGGACAAGTGCTGCCTTACAGCTGGAGCCATTTGAGAAGTCCTTGGGGCTCTCAGCTGAGAAGAGACCTGGCCATTCATTCCTGATTCACGTGAGGAAGTCAGATGAGTCAAAGCCTTGTGCACCAGGAATGCTCCAATGGCCAGGTGCCACAGGTGGAGCAGCAGCTCCCTGAAAGGCTGGAGCTGTAACACAGGGACTGTCTGATGGTGCTCTGTGTAAATTAAATCTAGATGGAAACTTCTCAAGTCATACTGAAAACTGGGAAAGAATTTAGAGAAAATTAAAATTTGCCTACTTGTTTGGTTGCACAGCCATAAGTCAAGAGTGAGTTTTTGTTTTTTTGATTGTTTAGGTTTGTTTCGTTTTGTTTTCACTGAGCAGCCTGAAACTAACTGCTTTACAATCTTCTGAGAAGAATTTAGAGTCTGTAAGGAAATGCTCTGAGCCAAACAATCTGTATTTGTTCAGAAATGTCCACAACAAATCAGTCAATTCTGCAGTAGCACTTTGTTACAAGAAAAAAATAACCTTTTTCCTGGCCTTTGTACAGATAGGCTGTAGCATGTGGTTTTACATAGAGATTTTATACTTATGATTAAAACTTTAGTAACCAATATTTATATTGTTAAATAATTGGATGTTTGCTATTCTGAAACTGCTAGAGCTCATCAATAATTATGTGCAAGCAATATTGGTTGGAGAAAGAGTTGTCCTTCTGCTATGTATGATACCTTAAGGAAATTTATTTTAGAATGTGATTAAGGAATGTGGCATCTGTGTATACAATGAGTGGTTATTACAGTCAGGAAATGAAAGTGCTTCAGAACAGTCCCCTATTTTCAGGGGTGTAAAATTCTGCTTTAAACAGAAGTTTGCCTTAGTCTGAAGTTTGAATTCTGAACACAGTAGCATGTAATTTTAACTTCTGAGAAAAATACTGCAACTGCCTTTGTTTACCTGTAAGTGCTCTACAGCTTTTTTCCCCATTTGCCCATTCATGGTTTTTGTTAATGGTTCTTTAATATTGCTGCTTCTTTAATATTGCTGTTTTGGGACCTATAAAACAGTTGGATTATAAGAACTTCAAAACTATGCTGAAAATTCTATTCAGGATGTACTTTAAAGTTCACTGAAATTGAATTCTTTCATCAAGGAAAATCTGAATCTGCTTCAGCCAGCTGTCTTAGCACCACAGTGTAACTGAGAAGAAATTCCCATTTTTTCTTATTAACAAACTGCCTTAAGGCATATCTAGAGACAACCACACAAAGCAGAGGAGCTCAATTGCAAACTAAGCCTTGAATGCATGTTTTGATTTCTGTTCTGGAAATGTTTCAGTTGAAAATCTCAGCGTTGTATAAGATCTCCTGCCATTTGTGCAACACAGATGAAATACGATTTTGCACTTAAGGAACTGGACTCATAGCATGCTTATGCCTATTAAAAAATTCCTGAACAGACTGCCCTTTAATTTATGTAAATTTATTTTTGAATAGTTGTGACCATGGAGCCACAGGGGCCTTAGCTCTTAATTTTGCAATACTGGAATTGAGCTATGGTTTGGGCTTTAGGTTGGAAATGTTCAAACACTTCTGTCATTGCTGATTTTATCATCAGCATTGAACAAGATTTATTTGCCTCGGCTTCAGTGAGTTCAAAGGATTGTCTTCATGTTCTTGCATTTTCTTACTGACTTTTGACACTGTTTATTTTCAAAGATGTTTAAAATAAAATAGAAAAACTTGCAAGGTCAGGACAGGAAAATATTTATACCTATTCCTTGCTTCCCTTTCTCCAGGATGCACACAAGCAGACTGTGGGTGCAGTTGCTGTTTTGCAGTCAGATGCCATCCTTTCTTCCTCCTAGAGGCAAGGGTGGTTTCAAATGGAATTTTATCCATACCTTTTCATCTTACTACCTTTCTGTTCTTGAAGAAGTACAGAATGGTCAATGGTTCCTGCACCATAACATCTCCACTACATTTGCAGAAATTAGAAGTTAAAGAGTGAGCAGGGCAGAGGCTTGGAGAGGGGAGCAGGATAAACACTCAGTCCCTGCAGTTGAGGTTTTGCTGAGTAAATTGGGTTACCTGCTTTACTGCTTTCATCCCTGGGGTTTTAGTTCCTGGTGGGAGCTGCCCTGCCCTGTTATCCCTGCAGGCAAATGTGTGAAGGGGGAATGTTCAATGGAGAGCAGTGTAATGCTGTTCAATCTGGAAAAACTTGACATGGGACGTTACAGAATCCATCTTACACGTCCTGTCTGCTTCTGCCTTTAGCCTCTGACTGCTCTGAAATGGCTGCTGAGGGTTTGTCCATTGTGTGGTGTGAGATGTCAGTTGAAGCAGCTCCATTTCTGGATAAAAACCAAGCCATAAAGCTCAGTGTAGGGAGCTCCCAGCTGCCTCATAGTGCCTTACACCCTTCCCTAGGCAGCTGGCTGGAGCCTGAGTCAGAGCATCTCTGGTCAGGTGAAATCATTCCTTGGAGCTGCTGAGTGATGTGGGATAGGAGACTCCAAAGGCTGGGCAGCAGCTCCTTCCTGAGTGGCACGTGGTGTTTGCTGTCTGACAGGGAAGGAGCTGCAGTGCAGGCCTTCCTCCCTCCTTTCATCTTCCCTTCCTTCCTCCACCCCTGGCATGTGGGGAAAAGGGAAAAGCAGCATGGCTGTGTTACAGGCCTGGGGGTAAAGCAGGGACACAGCTCCAGCTGAGCAAGGCTTTGATCTCAGTGTTTCTTAACATGGGAGCGGCTGATTTTTTTAAGCTACGTTAAAGGAGCCTGAAAGCTCCACTGGATTTTCCTACATTTCAAGATGACAAGCTGAGTGGGTGAGGCACAGCATCTTGTGCTGTACTAAGACTTCTGTTTTCCTTGAAGCTGAAAGCTTCCATCTGTTGTCATTCACCACAGCTTAAACTGGTTCCACCACTAATGCACTGTCACTTAACACCAGGGCCAGCCAAGGCAGGAGACAGACCTGCCTTGGGCTGGTATGTTGTTAATTTATTCCATATACAAAGGGGAAGATTTCCTCTTCCCAGGTCCCTCAAACATGCTGCTTGTCCCAGTCTTGTTCCCTGACTTGTGTCTCTGGACTATGTCTGCTCCTGGCAGTTCTCATCTCAGGGACTGGTTCAAGGCTGAGGATGCCAGGGCCTTTTTGGCAATGCATCTCCCCTGCCCTGACTGGGAAGCAGCTGAGTCAGCCAGGCTGACAGTTTAAAGGGCAGGCGCCTGCCCTCCTCTTCTGGAAAATTCTGGTTAGGGCAACAGGAACATTTATGAGAATGGGGTAAAGGGGTATTTAATAATCCTGAGGGAGCTGGGTTTAATGTGGCAAATTTCAGCTCAAGTATTCAGTAAGGAGCTGGTGGAGTTTGAGAAGGGGCAGCTGTAATAACAGACTCTATTACCAGACCTATTCCAGAAGCCTTACTCATGGACTTGTAATGACATCAATTTGCTTAAAACATCCAAGTGTGTTGCCAGTGAATTTATAGCTTGTCTAGTTACCATGACGATCCAAAGTTCACCAATATATTCTCTTCTATTTGTTGGCTTTGCTTTACTCTTAGGTTTTGGGTGTTTTTTGCTTGTTCCCACTGTGGTTCATGTAATTAGCATTTACTTTAGCCATTCTTAAATTATGTTTAAAAAAGGAGTGGGGAGAGGTGCAGGTCTTCACTGTAGTGCCAGTTACTGTTTAGTGAGAGTGGAATCAGACCCCTCCTGCATTTGCCTTTGGTATGTGACAGAAATAGGAATAGAGAAACATAGTTTAGATCATTTAACTGCAAGATGTTATCTGTGCCTCTGCTATTAAAGCTTTGGAAGGAGACAAACATTTCAGAGTGTGTTGCCCCCTTCACACCCAGAGAGGCAGGCTGAGGCTTAGGCCTGTTCCACTTGACCCTGTGGTAGAATCATGGAATGGTTTGGGTTGGAAGTGACCCTAAAGATCACTAGTTCTAACCTCCTGCCATGAGCAGATGTTTGGCTCAGCAGACCCCTGGTCTGACACAATTATCTTCTTGACCCTGATGAGATTTTACCGTGTACTGAAGAACATCACCCCCGGAGGCTGAGTGAGCCTGCAGTTCAGTAGGTGCAAACAATCCTTTACCTTTAAAAATTCACTACAGTTCTCCAGTGGAGTAGTGCAAACTCTGCCAGTTCAGACAGTATCCATATGGTCTTCCTGTAAGAGCTTTACAGCATGTTCCACCCCAGTTCCAGCTCCTTAGGATGTGCTGCTGCTCCTCTCTCCTCTTCCCTTGTCTGACCTTCCCCTCCAGTAAGTTGTTAGAGGAAGGCTCAAAAAAGGCAGAACTCAAACAAGAAATTAAACTCAACCCCCAACTTCCTGCTTTTGTTCAGTGCCAAAAGCACAGCAGGAATCTCTTCTTGCAAGAGCCCAGGCCTGCTATTTTTCCTTGCTTTGCTCTATGCTGCTCTCTTCCTGTAGGATGGATGGGATTGGGCATCCATTGTTTTCCTCACGCTGTGAGAAGAAATCCAATCCTCCAGCAACAGGAGAGCAGTGACCTGTGTATTGTGCCCTAAGTTAAATTATGGCACACTTGGAAGGCTGCACTTGTGATAATCACCTTCAAATAAATAATTTTATATTATTTAGTGCATTTCCATCCTTGTCACACAGCCTTAGCAGCACCTCACATAACTATAGGCAGGGGCTGTAGAAGAGGTGGCTCAAAAATCACTGAAGGTGTCGTCACAATCACAGTCTCCTGTAAGCTTTCTGCAGCTCTTCACAGACAGCTGAGGGTCCCTGAATAATTTAATAGGATCAGCAAAACGTTATCATCTTACTGATCAACATACAAAAATGATCACACATCAAAAGAGCTTTCTTTCTTTGGATAAACACGGCCAACCTGAGAAAGTGGAATTTCTCATTGTCCACCACAAGGTCAGAAAGACATGGCATCTCCTCATGGCTTCAGTGTAAAAACCAAGTTCTAAAGCTCAATGGCCATCAAGCCTCAAAACTCTTTCAAGGATGTTTAAAAAACCAGGAATTAACTGGTAGTCAAGTCTGTCACCTATTTCCTGTACACTTTTTAAGCAAATAAATTAAATCAATATCCTATTGCCATCAGGGTTGCTTTGTCTAATATCACTTCAAGGGCTGCCTCACATCTCATCCTCAAAGGGAGCACTGTTAGATCACTGAAAACATCAAAGTGCTCTGAGAAGAACCAGCTGGACTTTACCCACAGGAGTGCTGATGTCAAAGCCTTCACCAGCTGGGTTCCTGGAAAGGAGCACACCAAAAGTTGCAGCAGCAGAACAAACTTATATATTCAACAGTCATTTAATTAAGAAATCAATCATCTGAGGGAGCACAGAACACAGGTTGTGTGTTACACAGGCTGTGTTACAGTGCTTTTCCAGCACCTCAGCATCAGGTGAGGTGTGTTTATGTGTCTCCAGGCTGGGGCTGGCAAAGCCACATTGCCAAGTTCTGCCTCTGCAGGCCACACCATCGTACACAGGATCTGGCACCTTTGCCACCACAGAATCACACTTCAGTCACAAATGCCTGTGGTGCATTCAGGATTCACTTGGGTCAGAGCACACCTTTCTGTATAAAAGCCAGGCTCTAAATGCCCCTGTTGTAGAAGAACTCTGTTTCTTCTGTAGATGACAGAAGTTCTGGTTCAAGGTCTGCCCGCTTTATCTGCAATGTAGGAGAAAAGGGAGTCAGCACCACCACAGCCTCCTAAGTGGATGTTAAGTTCTTGTTACTCCATTGCACTTTGCACAAAGTCAAGTACTGCATTCAGGATTTGGGACTTGCTCTTTGTTTAGCTGGGGATTTGAGGGATTTTTTGTTGCTGTTTTGGGGATTTTTTTTTCTCCTCCAACGTTTTCTACATGTGCACACATACCTGAAAAAATACTTTTTTTTTTTTAAATAGCAACATTATCTCTGTTCACTATAGAATCACAGAATCATTTAGGTGTGAAGAGACCTTTAGGATCACCAAATCCAGCTGTAAATATATTTGGGTGACACACAGGAGAACTTCTGCTGTGGGCTGAGCCATTGGGAAGCCCAAAGAGCATCAATCAGCCCTAATCTCAGTAGATAATTCCTCAAAAGTCCCCCCATTTATGTTCTGTTTGCTTTGTTATCGTAAGAGATTAAGAATTCTTTAAAAAAACCCAAAAAACTAAAATGCCAGGACATTTAGACAAATAAACCACTGAAAATTGCAAGTTAGTTCTCCTGACCTTGCTTGCTTCAGACTGTTGTGAAAGTCTGATAACTCTACATGGAAAAGTGTAAATATGAATAACACACAATGCAACTCAGACCTCAAAAGTCCTGTGAGCCTCTGCCTTGTACATGGGCCTTCACAAACAGCCTCTCTGCTGCCCCACTTTAGATGTTCCACATTAATCCTGTTGATTTTTTTTTTTTTTTTAATATATGTGGCCTTCAGACTGCTGGCCATAGTTCTGAAAGGCTGATTTAATGTCACAATAATCTTAAATCAATTCCTGTGAAAGGACTTACCTCCCCACACTGTGGGAACATACTAAAGGAGACTGGCAGCATCCCTCCTAGGACTGACATAATCACAAACATCCTCACAGGACCCAAAGCACGAGGATTTTTAACAAATCTTGCTCTGTCCAAGACATTGAAAAAGGTATGTCAGTACATTGAAAAATAACTGACAGTGGCACAAAGAGCATTAGCTGCTATTTTACTGAAATTAGCAATAATCTAGGCTTATGGTTCCTAAAGATGTTTCCTTACTTCATTTCCTATGTTCTTACTCTTAACTTCCTGTGCTTTCCCTTTGTTTTGTGCTTGCCTGCAGCATTTTCCAAGCTCAGACTGTCAAGATTAAGGAAAAAAGCAGCAAGATCAAAGTGACAAAAGGAGAGAAAGTATATTAGTGCTTTAAAATGTCTCAGTTCCTTCATTAAGACTTTTCTTGCCTTACCCTCTTTCCTTACACATTTAATTCCTGTGAGCAGCCCTATTTTGCCCTGTGCAAAAATTTATTACTTGACATATACATTTAAAATTTTATTTTACAGCTGCATTTGTCTTCTGGTAACAGGAGTCCCTTAAGCTGATAGGGAATCAATTTTAAGCTGACAGGGAATCAATTACCTGACAGAGATGATCCCTACATGTACTATTTACATGACAAAAGATTGTGACCAAAAGTTCAGGGCAGGCTAAGAAAACAATGTATTCTTCTTAGGATACAAGGATTTAAAATGTTGAAAAGTAAGAACACATTTTACAACAGGTGGAAAACTATTAGGAAGTTGGGATCCATAGGGAATCAACTACCTGACAGAGATGATCCCTACCTGTACTATTTACATGACAAAAGATCATGACCAAAAGTTCAGGGCAGGCTAAGAACCCTCTCATAAAGCATACAATGTATTCTTCTTAGGATACAGGGATTTAAAATGTTGAAAAGCAAGAACACATTTTACAACAGGTGGAAAACTATTAGGAAGTTGGGATCCAGCTTTAATTACAAATTCAAGTCCCACATTACCTCTTCAAAAATACAAACCTAAGCTAAGTGCTGTGAACAACCTTGACAGAGACATTGAAACTCAAATCTTAAGTTAGGGAACTGGAGGTTTGTAGGTGCTGGAAAAGATCCTGTCAGGAGAGCACAGACATGTTTCCTGCATGGAGCAGAGAGGAAAACCTCATTCCTACAAACCTTGCAGCATGAGTTCAGACACAACCACATTCACTTAATGATCTCAAAGAATCACAGCAGCTGAACACAACTTCCCACATCATCACTTCCACCAAGGCAAGCAATGCTGCAAACCCAAGGAGACACCTGGCAAATGGTAACAGCCAGACTGAAAAGCAGGGTACCACTGCCCAGGCACCCCCAGCCCCTGCAGTGCCTCTCACCTCTGCACACAGTACATGAGCACTTCTGGCAGGAAGAACGTTGTCCCAAACAAGACTGCTCTGGACAATGCTGTTTCCATAACAGCCTTCAGGGAGAGAGCAAAACAAGTGTTGTCAAAAGAGTGCTCTGGGCAGCTTCAAACACGGCCTGCTTCCCTGAGTCCTTTTTTGTCTTACACTCTGGAGTTCAATGCAACAGGTTAATGAGGGATAACAACACCTATTAGAGGAATTCTTTCTTAAATGGAAACTAAGAGGCAAATACTCTGCTTATGACTGAGAAATTCCTTAAAAGGAAGGCAAAACTACTGATGAGATTTCCTGCTATAATAATTTTTCTAAGACTTGCTTTTTAAAGTTTGCTGAACTTCATGCAATTGATTATACCTTCTGGGCATCCCAACTAGCCTGTGCTAAACCTGAAGTTCTCTCTCCAGCTGTCACCAAATCCTTACACTCATGCAGTTGTTTCCACAATACAGGGCTTTTCTCTGAGGTGTCCCATCAGAAGATCCAAGAGTTTTATCTCCTTCTGGAGGAGACCAGAGAAAACAGAAATGTCTGTGCCAGTGTCTCTGGTCCTCAGTATATTGGTGTGGGGAGGCAGCCAGCCCTTGATGACACTGAAATTGTGGAACCTGGTTCCAGGGAGCTAATCCAAGCCTGCCCAAAGACTCAGCAGCTGGTGTGGGATTCCTTATTCAATATATCCAATCCTAGCTACTCCCAGCATCACATTCTGCTCTTAGCAGGGAATGAAAGGCAAGTCAAAAAAGTTCTCTACCCTCTCACCTACCTTCTCACCAGCCTTCTTAGACACTCCTATAACATTGCCATTCCTGTCCATCACTTCTATCCCATTATCAAATTCTGGGCTTCTCACCATTGCCACGGTAAATGCACTTGTCAAACCTGCAGGGTTAAAGGGGATTTTGCTTTAATAGATCCCTCAGTAGTAACATTCATAATGATGTGCATTTCACATTTCCATTTCAACAGTTCACAACTGAATAACATGACAGCTTAAAAAAATACACTGCCTCATGAAAATCTACTTGGGATCTGAATCTTTATTTCAGAAGCTTGAGAGAGACTGCAAGGCTTCAGGCCTACAAAATGCTTTGTCATTATGGATTCAGAGCTTGAACATCATTTCCATCCTGCTCAAACCACGAATACTTTGTCTTAACAGTAAGTGGATGGATTTCTGTTGTGGTTAGGTTTTGTCCTGCTCAGCACAAAATCCAGCACAGAAGACAAAATCCTGAAAGGAACAGGGTTTCAGAAAAGGTTGCATCCTGCATTGAAAGGAAGGGCATAGACTGTAATCTGACCTTGCTTGAAAGAAGAGATTGCTCTTTTTATTAGTTCTTGGTAGGGCTATTCAATAAAGACATTAGTGTACCAGAGGACACTTTGCAAATGCTGGACTAACATTAATCAATTTCCCTTAGGCTTTTCTCTACATTTAAGAAAATGGAAGCACATTTAACATCTGCTTCAAGGAAACACGTCAGAAACCTCTAATGTACTTCAGAAAGATCAGAGTAGGCATCTCACATAATTTGAAACAGAGGAGATGATGCATTTTAATTTTATCAATTTTTCCCTGAGAAAGGACAAAAACTTCTATAATGGCAATAGAAACATAATTAGTGATATTAAATAGTTAAATTTGTCCTGGTGCAAGTTCACCATGGCAGTAGAACTGTTGCAGTAATGAACTGAGTCCCACATTCCCTGCAGGATTAATAATAACCCTGCTGGAACAAGTCTCCCTTTCTGCACTCCCAGAGCGATGTCGCACTCTGGTGTCACAGATGTGCCACACCAGGTCAGTCAGTGCCACTGCTACTGCCCTCCTGATGTGTCCTGGTGCTTTCAGGTATGTGTACAAAGCTCACAAGAGTGCTCTGCAGCTCTGAAACTAAAACCAGCAAGAATCCAGCGACGTTGGGGACACTGTGCAGTGAGAGTTGGCTCCCACAGAAAGGAGGGGACCAGCAAAGGCAGCCAGAGAAGAAACAGAGATCACACCTGTGCAAAAGCAAGAAAGCTCTACAGTCAGTCAGGCAAATGGCCCTCAGGCCAGCTGCACAATGCACAGTTTGTTCCTACTCACCAAGCAGAGGAGCAGGCAGCAGTTTTCTGACAACAAGTTGCATAAATGGGTTCTTCAACGCATAACGGTTCATGAAGGCAACAGGGAGAGCCTAAGGCATGGAGAGGAAACAGGCACCACACTGAAAAAATGTGCAGCATTTCAGTGTAACAGGTTAGGAAAATCAATCTGTGACTTAGTTACCATCTATGAAAATAAACAAATGCCTTGATTTAACATTCCCACAAAATATACGTCTTCTGCAGTTAATGAAGGTGCTTGTAATCACTCTTTGTGATAAAAAAAGCATTCAGCATTATTATGTAGAGGACAGCAGCAGTGAGAATACAAAGACAGAAAAAAGAAAATTACCTCTGACTAATATTCCTTGGACATTCGTCCAACTGCATTGTGTCACATACTCCTCTCTCCCCCAAACAGGATATCTGGTTTACTTCTGTATTTTTCCTGCTTCTCTGCAGTTTCAGCCCAACTCTATATTCCCATAATACACTTGCAGGAAGTTTCATTTAGGAATAAAGAGCCAGGGCACCAGCTGGCCCTCAGAGACTCCCCTGAAGGACAAAGGGAAGCACTCCCATGATGAGCCACGGGCAGGGCTGCCTCCCCAGATTTCTGTAAGCCCTGAGCAATCCTGGCCAGCTGTTCTGCCTGCAGTGGGCAGAGGTGAAACTCCCTCTAACAGAAGCAAGAACAATCACATTTTTCTATCAGAAGCTTATGAAAATCACTGTTTTGTGTGTGGGGGTGAGGAGAGGCATTACAGAGACATCTGCACTTGTGATGAGTGTCATGATAATTCCTGAGCTCATTCTGGTGTAGCAAACTCGAGAAACTAAAAACTCCCATTCCAGCAGTGAGCACAGGGTCAGCTCCCTTCTGAATGCAGGGAAATTAGGGAACACTAATTTCCCTGCATTCATGGCTCTGCTGTTCCTGGGATTTGAGCAAACACTGTCCAGTACTGATGCCTGCAGACCTCACCACTTGTTTGGAGTTAGATTTGTTTGGAGTTAGATCTCTTCCACAGCACCACATCAAAAGTCAGCTACAACAGTGGCTCACCCTGTGTTTGTAAACACTGGCCAGCTCCTCTCACTACCTGTTTGCTGAGCTTGCAAAACAACACAGAATTTGACACAAGAGGAAGCATCAGGGGAGGCAAAGCAAAATAATGGCTGACAGATGATCAGAAAGTATTCTCATTCTGAACAGTTCTGTGGCAAGACATCAGAGCAGAGCACCAGAGCACAGTCCTGAAGGATGTGTGGCACTGTGGATATCCTGAGGGATATCTGGCACTCGGTGCCTACTCCTTTTCAACAGAGCTTGTTAGGAAAGCAGTCACTGAGCAAATACTTACACCAACAAAGGCTGAATAGGAAATGGCTCCCAAGCCAAGCAAGAGCTGCTTTTGCTGAAGTGAGTATTCCTAAGGACAGAAAAAACACACTGCATAAATACATTGTAAAGCACTTGCAAATCAAGTTCAAAATGGCATCTGCACAATGAAAATGATTACAAAAATAAAAATCAACACTCACTGCAGCCTTTGGGGTGCCATTTCCATTTACCAGAGTGAATGCTGTGGTGTATGTGTGAAACACAAACTGCAGAAACAAGAGATTGTAAGAAAAATTGAATTAAGGATTGAGACTAGAAAACCTGTGCAAGTAGAAAGAAAGAGGCAATTACCTGCCAAAAAAAAGAATGCCTTGCGTGGCGCTGAACAGATGAAACGATGACCTAAGAGGAAATGCACAAGAAAATGAGGTTTGAAGAGTGTAGAGGTTTTTGGTGCAGGAGCACCAGAACTGCTGAGGTACCACTGGCAGCAGTGTCAAAGGCTCCAGCCAGTGCCCAAGGCCATCAGCCCTGGTTCCAGGCTGTCACATTCTCCTGTTACAGAGGCAGCATATTCATTTTTCTGTTCAATAAAAAGCACACAGACACGTATAAAACACAGACACATAGTAAAATGTGGTAAAATGTTATGTGCAAGAATATTGCAGCAAGATTCTTTCTTACCCAAAAGAAAAATGCATTTGTGCCTGTGAAGCTTAAATAGATGCAAATAAAATAACTAAGGTAACAAATGTCTAATTAAAGAAATGATTGAGAAAGGATCAGATTGGTTTTGCTGGGGATATGAACACTAACTAAGTTAACTGATCTAAGATCAAAGGTTTCAGGAGTTAATTCCCAGCTTCTTCTCAAATTTTGACAGTGAATAAGCACTTCAGCTTTAATAAACCACAACCTTTCTTGAGGTTTTGAGTTCAAGGTGTGGAACACTTTCAAAAACAAAGTCAATCAAGATAAGAATACAAAATATTGAATAAGAGGAAGGCTGAGAATCTCCAAAGCCTCAGAGAAGGATCAGTAATTTGTGTAATATTAGTGGATCAACCATCTTTATTATTAATGCCAGCACTGACTCTAACCACATCTATTGAGAGCACATTAAGCTGTAAATATCAAAAAAAAGTATTTTGATTAATTCTATTACTGTTATTAATGAATTTAAGAGCTATCAAGACTTTCATGGTACTTTCTAGCAGAGCCATGTAAGTTCATGCTGTAATGTCTGTGTGGAATGACATATCTCAGGATGTACACTCACAGGCCAAGCCCAAACCCAAAGAATCTAAATTAATAAATAAACACATGATTACAGCTACAAATTTTATGAAACAAAATGTTGCTATTTTTGAGCACAGTAACAAGAGTTTATTTTTATGTCTTTGGTAATTTACTGACAACACCATTACGTACAAATGCACATCCACATAAGAAAAAAATCATATTCTGGGTCTGAGACACAGAACAGAAGGCTCCAACCCCTTCCCACTGCAGCTCCAGATTTTTGAGGCTGAACAGACCAAAGCCAGGCCTTGCTCTCACTGCTGAGTGATCTCACCTTGCCTCAGAAAGCTGTCCTTCACACAGGAACAATCTCTTGGAATGCTGCTGGAGAAGGGTAACTAACAGCTTGGGACTTCCAGGGAGATTCTTTAAAGGTTTGATTTCCAGGTTACTCAGCACTTCCCATAAAACAGATGTCTTTCAAACAGCTTGTGCTGAAGCTACAATAAAGCCCCAAAACTTTTATTCCCTCCCTTCCTCCAATCCCTGGCTATGGAAAATGGAAGTCTTGCTGGGTGCACAGTGGCATCTGTCACGATTACTCACCAAGGGAAGAGTTATGGGCATGAAAGCTAAAAAGAAAGAAAACTTTGTATCAATGAGTGCAGATGGATGGTCTTGAACAGAAAATTCCCCTAACCTCCCCTGTCCATTTCCATCTCCAAGTGAAACACTGCCCAGAGCTCCCAGTATCACCATTAACTAAGCTTTACCTCTCACTCCTGGCTCAAGCCACAATCCCTGCTCAGATTTCACAGCCAATCAGCCCTAAGCTTTATCTCTCACTCCTGGCTCAAGCCACAATCCCTGCTCAGATTTCACAGCCAAAGGAGCCCTCATGAGCTCCCCTCCCCAGGGCTGCTTGGAAATGAAATAACTGAAGACAAGTTCAGCTCTCTGTTCCAAAAGACCTCTGTTCCAAAAGCTGCCACAGTTGTGAGGGTCACAGGAGATAATGAGTACACAGCCTCAGTGTGCTTATCTCTGACCTGTGCTGCCTAAACAAAGCCCAAGCACACCTGATCTGTCACCAGAATGTAAATTCATCCAGCAGCCACAGCCATCAGGGGAAAAACTTAAATTACAGCAGACAGTTAAATGTGGAGGGATTTGGCAACTCATTCTGCAGCAACAAGAAGCAGAGACTAATCAGAGTGTTTCCATCTAGATGAGCAGCTTATCCCAGGGAGAAATTCCTCAGCAGGACCACAGGAATAAATAAATCAATCTTCAACACATTTAACAATGCAACTAAGAGAAGAGCCTGCTTGCTTTTCTCTGTGGAGAAGAGTGTCACTGTGGTATCACAGCAGCTGCTCACCATGAGCTATTCCTCCCTGATGCTTCAGTCACACACACAAAATTTCACTTAAGGGAACCTACCTGGGGGTCTAAACAAAACAGGAATTATCTTGTCTGTATCAGGATGTACGCTGGACTTAAAAAGGGGGGGAAAAAAGCAAATTAGAACATCTTTGCCATACTTGAATAAGGGGAAAAAATAATCTAAATATTTTGTAAACTTACCAGGCTTAGCAAGAAGGCTTTTTTGGTCTACAACAGTTGGAAAATTAGGTTAATAATTAAATTTCAGAAGAGGCTGGGTAAAATCTTCTTTCTAAATTTATTCTATGTCTTTTTCTAATCACTTATTTTTATACAAAGTGTATCTATTTATATATCCCTTTAATTATATTCTTCCCCTAAAATTTCTCCCCATATACTCCCTGTTGAAAATAAAGCATTCCCCCATGAGCTGTGTAACAGCAACAAAGCACACACAAGGGCAGAACAGAAGGTCAAATTAAAAAAGTTAAAACTAGTAGGCATTTTAAACCATAAAACAACAATTGGACATGGATAAACACTTAAGACTTTAATTACAGTTCAAAATACCTGATTATTCTGTATGGGCTCACTTTGGGTCTTCTCATTGATTAGTATTGATAACCTGGTTCTTTTTATTTCATTCTGTATTTGAGAGAAAAAAATAAACAAAACAAACAAAATTTCCTCAGTTTCAATATTTTAAGTGCAATATATCAGCTATAAAACCGAAGCTAATGATGTATCTGTTCCTTGCAGTGAAAGCAAGAACACTCCTAGACACAGTGAATTCACAATTACAGAAACTTTTAAACTATTGGGGTAATTCAACTGCTGGCACAGCAGCCACGGTCTGAGCGGGGCTGCTGAGATGGCTGTGCCTAGAAAGGTCCCTTGGTTTATGTCATCAGAAGTGCACACACGTGTGTTCCTGTTTGTCGTAGAGCTGTGGAATGCTCCGGGTGGGGAGGGACCTTAAATGCCACCCAGTGCCACCCCTGCCACGGCAGGGACACCTTCCCCTGTGCCAGGTGCTCCCAGCCCTGTCCAGCCTGGCCTTGGGCACTGCCAGGGATCCAGGGGCAGCCCCAGCTGCTCTGGGCACCCTGCCAGGGCCTCCCACCCTCCCAGGGGGGAATTTCTCCCAGCGATCCAACCTAAACCCCTCTGTCGGTGTGAAGCCATTCCCTGTCCCAGCACTCGTGCCCTTGCCCAAAGCCCCTCCCCAGCTCTCCGCGGCCCCTTTAGGAAGAGAACACGACATCCACCGCTACATTCCTTGCGAATTTCCTTCTCCCCAGCAGCCCTGCCGTGAGCCCGTTCCCCAGCCCGGCACAGCCCGAACCCCTCAGGCCGCCCGCCCCCCGCGACCTTCCCCGCGCTACTCACGGAGGACTTGAGGAGCAGCAGCGGATCCAAGGCGTCCGCCCAGAGGAGAAACCTCTGGAAGAAAGACTGGAGGGAGACACGTAGGAGGCGTTATTTCGGACCTCCCCGAAGCACGGCCCGTGCCCCCATCGCGGCCCGCGGTGCCCACCTGCCCCTCCGCCCTCCAGAAGCGCAGGTTGGCGTCCATGGAGCCGCGGCGCCGGAAGCGCCGCCGGGCCCGCTCCGCCGCCGCACGCTCCGCCCGCCCGCGGAGCCGCCGCGCCGGGGCCGCGCCGGGGAGAGAACCCGCGGCCTTTTCCCCTCCAGCGGCTGCCTAGGACGGCAAGGCACGGCCCCGCGGCCTTTCCCCTCCAGCGGCGGCCTAGGACGGCAAGGCAAGGCCCCACGGCCTTTCCCTTCCAGCCGCCCCCGGCACGGCAGAGCCCAGGGGCCGGGCTGCGGAGGCTCCCCGCGCCCCCCGCGGGAGGAGGAGGCCGGGCCAGGTGAAGGTCGGGGTGTCGCAGCCCCGCCGGCACAACCCGGGCACTTTGCTGCGGCAAATACCGGGTTAACCGGGAAAAGCCCACGGTTACGTTTCACAAAACAACCAAACGCCGGGACTGAAAAGATTTGCAGCTAGTGGTACCCGGAGCATCAGCAGCGGCACCGCTTCGGTCTCATTTTTACATCCTTTGTTCCAGCATTGATCCCCATTGTAAAGCTAACCCAGGGCTCAGGCACCTTGTGCTCCTTTTCTCAGAGGGACAGAAGATGATAAACAGAAACACAGAGTGTTTATTGATCTGTGCAGCCCCTCAGGACTTTATTTCAATGGGCTGCTCCCCTCGGCAGTGGGGACTGGGCTGCTGAGGCAATGAACACATCCAGTTCCTTCCAGAGAAACAGGGCTTAGGGGAAAGGGAAAGAAAAGCAAAGCACCACACCTGCTCTAGGCCACGTTAAGATTATTTTATTACAGCTAGAGAGATGCTACATCAGTTTCAAGCAGTACAAGTCAAGCAAATTCAAGTGAAAGAAAATTTGCCGTTAAGCTCCAATAAGTGCACTGTGGGGGTTCACGGTTTTATCATCTCCCAAACAAAATTAAAGTTTATCCTTGTTAATGCTCCTGAGTAGCTGCACTTTTTTTTTTTTAATGGCACATACTTACATTCATACTATGTTTTAGTGCATTTACACACAAAACCAATTATTTTAAAATTACTTTTACTTGTTACATTCATCTCTTCCTCTGCAAAATTCATTAAAAACAAACCATGTATCAAAATCCTATCCTTGCATTGTTTCAGACTTTTTTTTTTTTTACAGACTTTTATGTTGTGAGAGAAAACAAAACGCAGGACATTTTCTGGTCCAAAACTAGTTAAAGAAAAAGGGAAAAGCCAGTGGAAGGCAACTGTAACTTATGTACTCATCACATTCAGGAAGATTAATGGTCACAGAAATCCATGAAACTGAAGCTGCAGAAGGCAGGGGGAAAGCCTTAGTTTTACCCTTTTTAAAGCAAGACAAGGGAGTCAGTAAATATTTCAGCATTTAATTTCTTAAACATGAGAAAATGACAGCTTTTATTTTTATTATTAATTTTTACAATCACAGCTGTTTTCCTAATGTCTTCATTGGACAAAACTAAAGAATTTTGTCCACATATTTGAGTGTTTATTTATGCACTTTTTCAAAATATTCTTTGGAACCTTCTGGGCTTGGTTTAATCTGTCAAGAAAAGAAAGTTAAGTTATTACTTGGAACAGATATGATTTAAAAAATTACAGATTTGATACTTTATCCAAGAAAATTCATGCATGCTCTATAAAAACAGTAATCTGTTTATGCAGTTGGTTGAAAGACAAAAGCCTAGATAATGTACAACTTGTACTTGAAAATTTCAAGTATAAATCAAATTTTTCCTGTTAAATTACAATGCATTAAGTAAAAAATCTGAACTCAGTTAATGTATAAACCATGTTTTTCCTGTTAAATTACAATGCACTAAGTAAGTAAAAAATCTGAACTCAGTTAACATATACACCATATTTTTCCCGTTAAATTACAATGCACTACAAAGTAAAAAATCTGAACTCAGTTACTGGCGAGTCCAAGTCAAATTTGGAGTTTTGAACACAATTTGCATCTCCTACAAGGAACCCAGTAACTTTCTTCACAGAAATCCCACACTAACTATCAGACAAACAGACTAAACCAGCCTGGCTGACAACAGCTTTGTGTTCAGACACCAGGCACAGCCCCAGCCACGCACCTCACACCCCAGTGGATCCCAGCCCTCCAGACAAGCACCGTGGCTGTCTTTGGGAGGAGGACACCGAGCCCTGAGGGGCACTCACCGTTGGGGAGTCTGGGGTCCAGTTGGCGGGGCACACCTCGCCGTGGGTCTCCACGAACTGGAAGGCCTTGACCAGGCGCAGCGTCTCGTCCACGCTGCGCCCCACGGGCAGGTCGTTGACACTCAGGTGCTTGATGACCCCGTTGGGGTCAATGATGAACAGACCCCTGCAATGCAGCAGCACGTCAGGCAAGGCAAATCAATTTCCAAGGCCAAACACAGCAAACTGTGTCGCTGTGATATTTTATGAAAATCTATTTGCTAGGATTTTCTCCTGAGGAGCTGAGAAGGCTCAGAAAAGAAATGTAAACAATAACAATCTGATGGCTGTGGAATGTGGACTGGACATTGTTCACCAACAGGTGCATCCTTCATTGGTCCATGTGAGTTGCTTCTACTTAATAACCAAGCAAAGATCCAGCTGTGTTGGACTCTCTGAGTCATGAGCTTTTGTTATCATTCTTTTCTAGCCTTCTGCTGAATCCTGTCTATTCTTTTTAGTATAGTTTTAGTATAGTAATATCATATCATAATATAATAAATCAGCCTTCTGAAACATGGAGTGAAGATTCTCATCTCTTCCTTCATCCTGGGACCCTCAAACACAACCACAGCACTGGGTGCACAATTTCAGTAAAGTAGTTAGTCCCAGTGACACAAATCAGTTAGGAGGAGAACTGCAGCATTTGGGATGTTGTTAGCAAAGTGATTCGCTGCTGTGGTACTGTGAAACTACAAAGTGTGTATGAGACTGTTCAATCCAGCAGACAGAGCAAAGGGAGAACTCAGTGTTCCACCTGCACTTCAAAATTAAAAGCTGGCATCCTGCCCATGTCTTTTTGGTCAAATCTGTAGGTACTGAGTGAAGAGCTGATTGTGCACTAAATTAAATCCCATTGCATACAAGTATTTGTGAAAACCAAAGTCCCAATCTTACCATACTAATTAACTTAATCTCTCAGTAAACCAATGCCAAAAGTTCCTGATCCAAAAAGATCAGTAACTGAAAACCTCCAGAAGACTCCTACCCAATCCACTGTTTCTCAGGGAATACTATGGAAAAAAAATTATCAGAAATTGCCTTTCTATGCTGCTCTTTTTCCTTATTGACATCCTCCTCCCTCCCCCTCTCCCAGAGCAGAACAGCTGGCTTTTCCCTCACACATTTTCAGAGACCTGGACCCATTCTCAGCTTCATGGCCAAAATGAGCAGGTGCCCTTTTCCTGGGGTGGGATCCAGCCATCCTGCAGCAGAAGACATCTCACAGTCTTCACCTGATGCTGTTTCCCCAGAGGAGGGACAGTGTGCCTTATGTTGGATAGACTGGGTTGTGTCACAGCACAGGAGCCTTACCTCAGTGCTATGCCAGGTTCTTCCAGCAGCACCCCATAAGCACGGGAGATCTGTTTTGTGAGGTCTGACAGAACTGGAATATTCATTTTGCCCAAACCGCCGCTCTAGAGAACAGAGAAAGATTCCACTTGGTTACAAAAGCTCCACAGGATCATCCTTCCTGGATGCTGGATTCCACGTTCTTGAGGGCACAGTAACAACAAAACACAACCACTGCACCTGCTCCATGAAAGGAACCAGGCGTGTGTGGTGTTGCTTGGGTTTGCTTTGTTTGTTTGTTTTAAAGTAGCCAGGAACAGTTTGTTTCTTTAGAAAGTGAAAACGTCTTTTGCACTGAGCATTTTAGAATTGCTGATTTCAGTGGTAAGAGGCTACCAATGGCAACATCCATACATTTCCAGAAAAACTTCCTTTGTATCCTATTCAGGAGCTTTGAATAGAAAAGTTTCTACTGCATATTTAAGTGTTCAGAATTAAATAAGGTGAACATGGTGGGGAGGGAAAGGAAGCAAACCTGTGAAGAAACAAACTTTGGAGCACACATCTGATGAGGAACAGCTGAGGGAATTGAAGATATTTAGTCTGGAGAAAAGGAGGCTCAGGGGTGACCTTATCATTCTCTACAACTACTCAAAAGTGGGTGTAGCCAGGTGGGAGTAAGCCTCTTCTCCCAGTTAACAATGGACAGGACAAAAGGAAATTATGTCCAATTGCACCAGGGGAGGTTTATATCAAATATTATCAAAAATTTCTTCACAGAAAGGATTGTCAGGCATTGGAACAGGCTTCCCAGGACATGGGGAAAAAAAAAACAACAAAACGTGGATGTGGCACTTGAAGTCATGGTTAGTGGTGAACACAGTGATGGTGGCAGTGACTTCATCATCTCATCATCATGGGACTTCATAATCCTAGAGGTCTTTTGCAGCCTTAACAATTCTAATTCCAAACACAGTGCTCCTACCAACACACTTAGTATGTGAGAGTTCTGCTGCTCTATTCAGTGCACGTGGTTATTTTTTCTTTTGCATCTCACAAATCAATTCAAATACTATTTGAAGAGTCAAACAAGATTTCTTTCAGTTTTGTCACAGACTGAGACTGCAAGAGAGATAAGCTCTCTAACCTTGAAACAAGGCTGGAGTTTGTTAGCTTTGCTATTCTTGGCATCATCAGTGAATCACTGTGTAATCTCAGCCACAGACCCTGATCCTGCAAACACTTGTCTGCAGCAGAGTTCCCCACACAAAGCTTTGGGCACAGATGTCAGACAAACCAAGGCTTCAGCTTCTCTGGGTGTCAGTTTCCTGCCTGTGCCACCGTGGAATTCTTTCCACCCTGTGCAGGGTGTTTTGAGCTGGGCTTGATCATCCTTGTGGGTCCCTTCCAACCCAGAACAGTCTGTAAAACACTGTGCACAACTGACACACCCTGAACATCTTTGGGATAAAGCTGGGAAGTTAGGCCACAGTCACACTGCCGAGCTTTGAAAAAAACATGCAGAAAAGAAACGCTCCTGACAGGCTCAGCCAATGTGTATTAAATGCAGCAAACTCTCCTCCCTCCCCTGCACGTTCCAGTGGTGCCAGAAGGCACCCAGCCTGCAGCACTACTGCACACTGCTGGCCACACAGGCTGGGACTGATGGCACAGGCACATCTGCACCTTCCTGGGACACTTGTGCTTCTCTACAACTACCCAAACCAGGGAGATGCTTTATTTCATCAAAAGCAGGTATTTTTATATGTATCTGAAAGAGGCTCCTCCCCAGTAAAAGGCTGTCTTTATTGCTTTCTTCTCCTAAAGAAAGACAAAAACCTCCACTTGTACTGCAAGAGTGGAACCCTTTCAGCAAGTGAGAACTAGTGATACAAGTGCTCCAATAAACTGCTGGCTCCTCTGCTTCCAACCTGAAGCCACCACTGTTGAGTAATTGTTACCAGTAAGGACTGAACAGCTGCTGCTGCTTTTCTGTGATAGTTTTTGTGCATTATCAGCTGCCA